GGTGATGCCAAAAGTCACCTGCTCATGGCACTTGTCATCGCCAGACCCTGACTGCCCGCTGCCACCAGTGTGTCATCGTCACCAGCTCCAGCCACCTCCTGGGCACCCACCTGGGCACAGCCATTGACGGGGCCGAGTGCACCATCCGCATGAACGACGCTCCCACCACCGGCTACGATGCTGACGTGGGCAACAAGACCAGTTTCCGCGTGGTGGCTCACTCCAGCCTCTACCGCGTCCTCAAGCGGCCCCAGGAGTTCGTCAACAAGACCCCAGAGACCATATTCATCTTCTGGGGACCACCTATCAAGATGCAGAAGAGCCTCGTGAAGATCATCCAGCGCGTCTGCGCCTCCTTCCCCAACATGACGGCCTATGTCGTGTCCCCCAGCAGTTTGATGACCTGTTTCGGGGGGAGACAGGGAAGGACAGGTATCTTGGAGCCACCTCCTGCACCGTGTCCTCCTTCTTCCAGGCAGAGCTGGCTTTTGGAGCTGCTCCATGGCCTGCAGCGCTGAGCCGGAGATCCCTGGGGCAGGCTGGGGACAGTATCCACCTCACCTCACCCGTCATCCTTTCCTCCCAGGGAGAAGTCACGCTCGTGGCTCAGCACCGGCTGGTTCACTATGGTGATCGCAGTGGAGCTGTGCGACGCCGTCCACGTCTACGGCATGGTGCCACCCAGCTACTGTGGGTAAGGAGACCCCCAAGCCCTCACCCCGACCTCCTGACACCACCACGCGGCTCACCGGGTGCTTCTTCCCCACCACAGCCGCCACCCCCCTCCTCGCCGCCTGCCCTACCACTACTACGAGCCAAAGGGCCCCGACGAGTGCACCACCTACATCCACAACGAGCGCAGCCGCAAGGGCAACCACCATCGCTTCATCACCGAGAAGAGAGTCTTTGCCAGCTGGGCCAACCTCTACAACATCACCTTCTCCCACCCCACCTGGCCCTAGGCGCTGCCCCTGCCCTCCAGGCAGACACCTGGAGCTGGGATGGGTGGAGGTTCCCCTGCATCCCCCTGGGAGCAGTGGGTGCCAGGCCCTGGGGTGCCATCCAGTGCCTCCCATGGGGTCACCACTGTTGTGCACAGTGGCTCCTCGTGCCTGGGATGTGTTGTGTTTTGAGCTGGCTTTTGGGGGGGCCAGGGTTTGGGGTGTCCCCCCTCCATAGGCAGGAGGCGTGAGGGTGAGATCCTGCCCCATCCTGGTCCAAACACATTGTGGCTCCTGTAAGTCTATGAGGGGGTGCTGTGTCCCCTCTGGTCAGTTTGGGGTTCATTACTTCTGGGGCCACCACAGAGACTGTTTCACCCAACCCCTGGGTGGGGGGACCCCCTCTTGGAGCTCAGCCCCCTCTGCCATCCCCAGTCCCAGTCTGCAGTCATCCTTCCCTCAGCAGAACTCCTCAGTTTTGGTGGGTCCCCACAGGGGTGACACTGCCACCCTTGCTGCCCCACCACCCCAAAACCACCCAGCTCCTCCCAGTACCGCTGCACCCCACACTGCCAAAACCTTTTCTAACTGAATGATGGGATTTTTGGGAGCTTTTGGGGGCTTTTGGTTTCTTTTTTTCCTCCCTGCTTCTGGTCCCAGAGTTTGTATTTGGGTTCCCCAGCCCAAGGAGTGAGTGGAGCTGCTCATTAGTGGTAATGAAGGGACTGTAAGTAGCCACCTAGGAAGGATTTAGAAGTGGGAAGGTAGTGGGGGGCAGCAGTGCCCCTTGGCACCCTGTGGCCAGGGTGGGATTTTGTTGCTAATTTCTCAGCTGCAGAGAAGTTGGTTTGGGGAAAACAGCTAAATATGGTGTGTTTGGCTGCTGAGCCTTGGCAGGGCTCTGTGCCTCAGTTTCCCCCTGGCCGTGGCTGGTTTTTGGGGGGCTCAGTGCCAGGGGAGGCCGTGGGGCGCCCGTGTTTTGTAATGGTTTGTACAGGAATAAATATTGCTGCAGTCTGTTGCCTTGGGCCCTGGCTCCAGGTGGGTTTTTGGTGCTGACAGAGGTGCCATCACGGGAGGTGTTGAGACCCCCAGCAGTGCTGTCCCTGGGGGCTCAGGAGGGTGTGGGAAGGGGACCAGTGTGCCCACCCATGGCTAGCCTGTGGCTGGCCCCAGCTCTGAGCCACCCCCTCAGTGCAGGTGGCAGCTGAGACCTCCCCAACTTATGTCATCCCTAGCCACCTGCCTTGGGGTCACGGGGCCTTGGGACGGCCACACAGGAAGAGGAGGAGGAGGAAGGGCAGGTAAGGACACCTTTGGTGCTTTACCCACCTGGGGCTAAGAGGGAGTGGGGTGCCAGCTGGGGATGGGATGGGGACATGGGGATGGGGACACGAAGGCATTAGGGATGGGGACATTAGGGTCAAGTATAGGGTTGTCAGGGGCAGAGATGGGGACATAGGGACAGGGATGCTTTACCCCCTTGGGGCTGGCAGGGAGAGGGGTGACAGCTGAGAATGGGGGCATGGGGATGGGATGGGGACATGAGGACATTAGACACATGGATGGGGATATTTGGGACAGAGATGGGGATAGGAATGGGGACATGGCAATGGGATGGGGACATTAGGATCAGGGATAGGGACATCAGAAACAGATGGGGATAGGAATGGGGACACGGGGATGGGATAGGGACATTAGGGACAGGGATATGGACATTAGTGACAGGGATGGGGATAGGAATGGGGACATGGGGATGGGATGGGGACATTAGGATCAGGGATAGGGACATTAGGGACAGGAATGGGGACATGGCAATGGGATAGGGACATCAGGAACAGAGATGGGGATAGGAATGGGGACACGGAGATGGGATAGGGACATTAGGGATATCAGGGACATGAGAGATGGGGACAGGGGGCCATAGTGACGGGACGAGCAGAGGGGTGGGCGCACAGGGCCGGGGCGCGAACAGCGCTGCCCTGCGCTCCGTGTCCCCTCTCCGTGTCCCCGCTCGGTGTCCCTTCTCCGTGTCCCTTGTGTCCCCTCTCGGTGTCCCCTCTCCGTGTCCCCTC